AGAAGACTTGGAACCTTTGCCTTTTATTCTCTGGACCATATTCCATACCTTGGACATGGGTGTGCGCGAATTAATGTTGGAGACATTTCCTCCAAGACTGGCGCTTGTTTTGTTTATAAGCACGTCGCGCCTTGGCATTTGTAATTTTAACATTATTGAAGTTATGAACTGTAGGATGTCTGCGGAAATACGTTTCTGCTTTCTTCCTACACTTCCTTGCTTGTTTACAGTCATTGTTAAACCATGGCTTACGAATATGAGGAGTTGCAGAGGACTTAGGAATTGACTGGTCAGCAATTTCATTCAACAGAACTGAAAACAACTCTATAGGATCTGATACATTATTAAAATTGTCCGGTATTAATTTATCCATACACAATGTTTCATACAAAGACCAATTTGCCTTCGTAAAATTCCATCGTGATAAAGATGGTTCGTCATCCGGTTTTATAGTTTGTAGGACAGTTGGGAAGTGATCACTTCCACAAAGGTCATCATGAACGGACCATTCAAATTCGTTGTAAATATTTGAATCAGCGAGTGACAAATCAAGAGTGGAATAAGTTCCTGTAGCAGGATGTAAATAGGTGCTTGAATCATCATTACAAATACACAAACTATTATCAGAAACAAAATCTTCAATAACTTTGCCTTTATTATTTATATTTGTACCTCCCCATAGAGGGTTATGCCCGTTTAAATCACCCATGATGACACAAGGTTTGGGCAGCTGATCATATAAAGCTTGTAGATCTGTCTGCTGTAAAGTCGAGGAGGGTGGGATATACAAAGAGCAGAGTGTTAAGGCAATGTGAAATGTTAGCCGAACTGCAACAGCCTGAAGGTTGGTAGTAAGCGGAACAACACTATGTAGGACATCCTGTCTTACCAAGATGGAGGAACCTCCAGTGACTTTTGCACCTGGAGGAGAAAAGTGATTATACAAATTGTATTTTCTGATATCACATTTGTCTGTGTCTCGAAGATATGTTTCTTGTAGACACATCGCTGATGGTGTAAAATCCTGTATTAAAATCTGTAAATCGTTAAAGTTATTCCTAAATCCTCTACAATTCCATTGGATTATGTTGGACGATTGATTCATGGTGGCTCAATCGGTGAACGGTCTCGTCGTGAGGGCGGATTCCTACCGCTCTGTGACGGAGGGGGTTATGTCCATATCAAGAGCTTCAAAGGAGTTATGGACGACTATCTCTGAAGATGAAGGTTTTTTTGTTTGCCTGTTTTCTATTTTTTTTCTTTTCATTTCTGGTCAAAGGTTGTACAACTGGTTCAGCTGTGACTGATATATTGGGGTCATCAGGTACATCGTCATCAATTTGAGAATGATTCATAGTTTGAGTTGACAACGTGTCGGAATCACTGACATAAGTTAACCTGATAGGCTGATTTGAGTTGATCCATGACAGATCAGTCTGAACAGAAACAGATGTGCAAGGAGAAGCGGTATGGGCTACAACTGCAGAATATGATCTATTTAGAGGCAGTATTTGAATCTGATTTTCTACAAGTTTCTTTGCTTCCTGAAACGAAATGTTTTTCTCGTGTTTTAACTTTAGTATTTTTGACTGGTTTTGCCACACAGGACATAACCTTGAGGAAGCTACATGTTGACCTTTACAGTTTGCACACTGTATTTCAGCTGAGCATTCAGTGTTCTCGTGTCCGTCTCCACAGCGGTGACACACAGCAGATCTATTGCAAAATTTGGAGCCATGTCCAAATCTCTGACACTTAAAACATCGGAGTGGATTGGGGACATACACCTCCACTCCGATGTTCACATAACCAGCTTTTATTGATTTCGGCAGGACCGACAATGAAAATGTGAATAGATACGTACTAGACGGAACTATGTCACCGTCTCGTGTTTTCATAGTAAAACGTTTGACTGTGGTCACACCTTGGCTTTTCAGTTCAGTCGCGATTTCCTCCTCAGACATATCGGACAGGCAACGAGCTCTGTCGCGAACAATGCCACGGCAAGAATTCAAGGTTTTGTGCATAGACACAGCAACCTCAATGTTCGCAAATGTTTTAAGTGATAACAAGTTCTCAGATTGTTGTCTCCTTGAACACTCAATAAGCAGTGATCCACTTCGAAGACGTGTCACGTTCTTCACTTCGCCACAAATTCCTGAAACAGCTTTTGAAATCGCGAATGGATTAAGTTTAATTGGTTGTTTATCTGCTGCCTCGATAACAACAAATCGAGCCCATGAATCAAGTACAGGACAGACATTTACATTGTGACCAGTTTCATCAGTTTCTACATGTCTACGTTTAGATCTATTTGAACCAGGGTTTTGTTGAGCCATGGTGGAAGTAATGTGATTCAGCATCCCTGCTCCCCACCCACCATGGAGTGCCAAAATGAGCGGTGTTTAATAGCATCGGATCTCCAACATGCAAACACCGGGGATACAGGGATGGTATACTTCAGCAAATATGACGCGAAAAGCTGCGTTAGTTTACCAAAGTAAATGTTTGGTTGGTTCGCCCAAAACAAGAAATTGGAAACATGCAGATTTCGGAGGACAACATCACCAAATTGGCCCATGAGCCACCGCCTTCTGGCATGAGACTCTAGGCAGATTTCATTTTGACAACGTAAATACGTTGGCCAAGACCAATCAAAACATATTATAGAATCAAATAATGATATGCATACAATTCATGCACAGGGCTTGGCATGACCAGCCGATTGGTAGAACCGGGCCCATTCTACCACCCGTCTAGGTGAAGTAAGGGTCGAAGTGGTGTGTTGGGCAATAGGAACACGGTTCCAGGATCCTATTGCCCTCAACCACCAGAATCCCGTCCTCCACCGACACAGGGGCGCAACCCACGGCAAACGGGTTGGTGGACCAAATATCCCCCCGGGTCCACAACGGGGGGTTGAAGGGCGCTTAGCGTGACCCAGCACCCACCACGAGGAGGTGGCCCTTCATGGGTGCCTCTAAGTACAAGAATGTACACTGGCCTAAAAGTAAAAGGTCAATTTCACCCACTGAGTGAACATAAAATCATACAGCTGTGATTAGCTCTTTCGGGTGTGGATCTACAGTAGTTGGCCATAAGTGAGTCATCAATAATGGAATTCCCATAGACTTTCATGTTAATTAACTCTTGCAAGAATAATTTTCATAAATTTAGTTTCGGTGGAATTGCTTTCAGTACTTATCTACCAGCTGGGAAATCATCTCAGCTACATACATATAATTTCCTTTCAATTTTCCGATGATTATTAAGAAAACTGCAACTATTTTAACAACATATTAGACATACCAATCAGGTTTAACATGTCTATGGGATAGATTAAAATTAAGTGGTACTAATGGTGCTTAATCAGGCGTCATTCAATAACTAATCAATGGAAAGATGAAAGAAAATTATGTACACGTAGCTGAAGATGATTTCAAAGATGTTTGCAAAATATCAAAATAGAATGACTTCTACTCTATTTATGAAAATTATTCTTGCAACAGTTAATTAACATGTAAGTCTATGGAAATTTCACTAATGATGACTCACTTATGGCCAACCACTGTAGTCTGTCTCACAGTCCCTGAACCACAATAGTATTTTACCTACTGCCTTGCCCTTTCTGCAATGCTAACGCCCTAAATGAAGCAAGTCTAGATTTCCTCAGGTTCTGGTTTCCCCGCGGCTCCTTTTCAATTTATAATGCGTTTGTTTGTTAATATAAAAAAATATATATTCAGAGACTAAGCGATAGTCTATGTGAGGATCAAGAAACAACATGATACGAGACCTCACAATCGCGATCAAGTTACTAGCAAACAGTTTCTTCCAGTTGCGAAATCTTGAAATAAATTGTGTCATGGGACAGGCATCGCCTTTGATACAATTGTACATGCTGCTGTTTTCAACAAAATACTCCGATTACGATACATACCATGCATTTTCCATAGCTTTGTGCTGCCAAGTCACCTCGTGTAGTGCGCGAAAACTGTAGCAAACGGGATCCGATTTGACACAAAACGTGAACGGGCCTTCGTGTGAAACATGAATTCAATTTATTTACAGATTATTACGTTGTTATTTTGATTGAAGAATCAAATGTTTTAAGTATTTAAACGTGTTCTTGGTGGCATATTAGTCTTGTCTGTCAGCTCCCACAATATCTACAGACACTATTGAATTATTAGCTAAGTGTTCATTTCGACGTTGCCGCTTTTGAACTTTCACGTTTTTGACGCACAGGAGCGTGAAGGCAAATCGCCGAAAGGTACTGCGAACGAAACAGTGATGTTATAGCGAACACTTAACGATGTGTATATTTGAAATAAGTGTACAAAACCTAATAGCATATATCTAGACAATAATTTCTCCACTGTTTATTACTGAACATATATCCAGCTGTTAGAGAATTTTATAGAAAACCCCGTGTCGCCGAAAGGTCGCAGGCGTTATATACATGATATTTTTGTTTTTACAATAAAAGCACTAAAGTTTTATAAAAATACGAAAGAAGCACACCCGAAGGTCCTGAGACGACCTTCTATCCAACCATTCACTTTGGGCTAGCTATTAAGGAAAATGAACATAGTTGTGACATGCAGATATTTAGGCGACAGAAATATATCCTTAGGGCGACAGCTGTCGCCTAAAGGTCGCACAAATGTCGCCCAAAGGTCGACATTGTCTATATGACAATATGTCGCCCTAAGGATATATTTCTGTCGCCTAAATATCTGCATGTCACAACTATGTTCATTTTCCTTAATAACTATCCCAAACTAGATGGTTGGATAGAGGGTCATCTCAGGACCTTCGGGTGTGCTTCTTTTGTATTTTTATAAAATTTCAGTGCTGTTATTGAAAAAACAAAAATATCATGTATATAACGCCTGCGACCTTTCGGCGACACGGAGTTTTCTATAAAATTCTCTAACAGCTGGATATATGTTCAGTAATAAAACGTGAAAGTTCAAAAGCGGCAACGTCGAAATGAACACTTAGCTAATAATTCAATAAGGTCTGTAGATATTGTGGGAGCTGACAGACAAGACTAACATGCCACCAAGAAAACGTTTAAATACTTAAAACATTTGATTCTTTGATCAAAATAACAATGTAATAATTTGTAAATAAATTGAATTCATGTTTCACACGAAGGCCCGTTCACGTTTTGTGTCAAATCGGATCCCGTTTGCTACAGTTTTCGCGCACTACACGAGGTGACTTGGCAGCACAAAGCATTGGGAAATGCATGGTATGTATCGTAATCGGAGTATTTTGTTGGAAAAAGCAGCATGTACAATTGTTTCAAAGGCGATGCCTGTCCCATGACACAATCTATTTCAAGATTTCTCAACTGGAAGAAACTGTTTGCTAGTAACTTGATCGCGATTGTGACGTTTCGTATCATGTTGTTTCTTGATCCTCACCTAGGGCTAGACTATATTTTTTTTTATATCAACAAACAAACGCATTATAAACTGAAAAGGAGCCCCGGGGAAACAAGAACTTGAGAAAATCTAGACTTGCTTCATTTAGGGCCTTTAATAAGCATTGCAGAAAGGGCAAGGCAGTAGGGAAAATAATATTGTGGTTCAGGGGACTGTGACACAGACTACAGATTACAGTGGTTGGCCATAAGTGAGTCATCATTAGTGAAATTTCCATAGACTTACATGTTAATTAACTGTTGCAAGAATAATTTTCATAAATTGAGTAGAAGTTTGCAAACATCTTGGAAATCATCTTCAGCTACGTGTACATAATTTTCTTTCATCTTTCCATTGATTAGTTATCGAATGACACCTGATTAAGCACCATAAATACAACTTAATTTTTATCAATCCCATAGACATGTTAAACCTGATTGGTATGTCTAGTATATGTTGTTTAAGAAGTTGCAGTTTTCTTAATAATCCTTGGAAAATTGAAAGGAAATTATGTTGTACAAAGCTGAGATGATTTCCAAGCTGGTAGATAAGTGCTGAAAGCAATTCCACCGAAACTAAATTTATGAAAATTATTCTTGCAAGAGTTAATTAACATGAAAGTATATGTGAATTTCACTATTGATGACTCACTCATGGCCAACTACTGTAGATCCACAACCGAAAGAGCTAATCACAGCTGTATGATTTTATGTTCACTCAGTGGGTGAAATTGACCTTTTACTTTTAGGCGCAGTTCCGGTGCGGCAAAAAAAACCCAAAACATCTCTCATTCTGACGCCTGATATTCAGGGTATCAGACTGACTTTTTGCACTGATCTATTGTTTTCTTATTTTAAATAAATATCTACCAACTAATAGATAAATAAACCCCAAAAAACAGTCAATAACCATTACTAATTTCAGGAACTAACCAAATCTGTAAGACTTGAATTCAGTAAAATTACTTATAGGCCAAATGTAGAGATAACATAACACATTACAATCGGTTTTATCACCCACACTGCATATTCTGACCATGGGGTAATACTCATTGACATGGGTTTGCTCAAATAATGAGCTGATAGTGCAGTGTTGAGGAAGACTTGTAGTTATAGTTTCGTAATGGCACTCTCCATTGTTGCTCTTTGCTGTTTCCTCTGATAGCTGAACTACACATTTTTATATCAGCTACACATTTCCTAAATTGTTCATGCAAAGGAAATATGCATTTGCTCTCTTGACCATAATATGTTTCAGTTACATTATTTATATCAAGAGTTTCTAACTTTCAAAATATAGCTTTTTGTACTCCTGCTTTGAACCCTGCCCCTTTGGGTGTTTATGTGCAGTGTATCTCCTCCACTGGTCTATCAGAGTGAAAATATCAGTGAATAGTGATGAAATGTATATGTTGCACCATTTTCATGCTGATAATAATAATTATCTCCATATGAGTACAAAGATTGTAGCCTACCACCTTATTACCTACAAGTAAAGGCTGTCTGGGTCAAACCTTGTTTGTTTTTAGTAACCTGATACGTTTTGTAGCTGATTATGACAAGAATTTCTAATTACCAGAAAACACATTTACTGGATCTGAGAGATCCTAAAAGATAAAAACTTTTCTTTCATTTGGCCCAGGACTATAACCTTGTCTGTCCACATGCCACTGCCACTCAGCCAGCATAATTATGAGCAATACATCCTCCCACTCACAGGTTACTCAACTGACAACCATAAATGTTGGTTACGTTGTATTTTTCTGCACTTGGTCCAAACTTGATATAGTTTCAAATGCTAGAGATTTTCCACTTCACTGGTGCACTTGAATCTGTTAATTCAATATTGTGCATGAATACAGTTAGAATTCCCTTTTTGAGCTTTCATAATTCCATTGCAGCTACTCTTATCTTTGTATGTTTAATGCAGGGACATTTCCTCATTTCAAAGTCTAAATCCTGTACATTGTGTAACATAGGAAAGAGGGTAAATACCAGTGGACAGGATAAGATTAACTGAAAAGTCAAGGATGGATCTCACTAAACACATTGAGACATGTTCTAACTTATTGGTTGGTCAATAGACCAACTGTTTCTATGCAGGGATATGTTATTAGTCTTTTATGGGTTTTTAAGTTCCCTTAGCAGTCAAATTGCATAAAAGGGTAATTTTGTTCAAAGCGGGGGTTTCTTAAACAAACTATTTCTCTTTTTAAAAATGGAGGTGAAGTTTAACATTTCTTTCAGTACAAACAGTAAGAATTAAAGCCTCTTCCTGTTGTAAGTTACCTTTACAAAGCCATAATAACAGTTTCAGAAATGCCTCTTTGATGCATCTATTCAGGTAGTGTGCTGTTCATCATTGGTCCATCATCGGCTAATAGTTTGCATTGTCGACTAATACCAACATCTCTGAGCAGCACTGGGCAGACAGTATTGATATAAATCATAGAATCGATGATTATTATTATGAATAGTAAATTAAAAATAAACCTGAAAGAAATCAACATTTTGTATTACTGGTGAGTTTTACCTTTATGCATGGATGACTAACAAAATCCTGAACATGACTTAGAAGCAACCCATGAATAAAGACATAACTTTGTATATTGTGTAAGTAAGTTGAAACTATGATATTATGGGTATTCTTAAATTCCAATCAAATTGACTTGATGGCACAAGTTTTTTCCTTTGGTCACCCTTCATCTCAAGATCAAAGCTGACATAGACTGTAAAAAGTCAGGAAAGATCTAGCCTGTCTCATAGTTCCTGAACTGCATTATTTTTACTTCTGTCTATGCCTTTCTGCAATGATAAAGATCTAATTTAAGCAAGTCTAGATTTACTTAGTTTCAGGAATCTCCCATCTCACTGGAGCTCCTTTTCAGTTTAAAAGGATTTGTTTGATTCTATCAAAAGTATATATATTCAGAGACTAATTGCTAGTCTTGGATGGTCCTGTTAGACATGGAAATCCTATCCAATCCAGTTTATGCCCGGTAAGTTAATTTTATTTTACAATGGTTTCTGAATATGAAACATTGTAAATTCATAATTTATGTATGTTGTTAGGGTGATAACTAAATCATGTAGAATTTTAAATACTTTATCAGTTCAGAAGAAAAAATATTATTTCTTAAGCTCAGTTTTGAATTTAAGTTCATAATCATTTTGAGAATAATATTGTTAACCTTTTAATGTTACATAATACAGACAACTATGAACGGGACCAAGACACGTTGAGCTTGGCAGAGGAGAAATGTGACCTTCAAATTGCAGAATCCGAGGGGGAGTCTCAGGCATTCCAGGAAGGGGTAGGTTATGTGATCCAGAGATGAATACCTTCATGTTAGTAGATTTAAGTTGTGAATACCAATTTTACAGCTTTGTTAAATTTATTTCTACCTTAACTAGGGATGTCACGATACATAAGTTTCATGAATCGATACATATCACGATACTCATGACATGATTCGATATGTATCATGATACCTATTTTCGCTGCATTATTGTGTAAAATTAGTTACATTTTGAACATTAAATATATTATATTTTATAAGAGTCCTTGAAAAGATCAACATTTTCTATTCTCAGAGATTAAAAAAGTTCTAATTTCCCATCTTTGTGTATGAAAAATAATCATTTATAACTCTCATTACATAAAAAACATGATACAATTGCAAAATGTGAACGATACATATTAAAACATGTTTAAATCAATACTTTCAAAACTAATAATGATAGAGTTTTGAATGCATCAATGATTGTAAGGTCTTAGAAAAAAGTATCGATGTATCGTGGCGTTCCTAACCTAAACATTGTTCTGGCCTACCTTTAGAATTCAGCACCACAAACTTGCAATACCCGATGAAGTAATGCCTCATGAATCTTTGCAATTTGTTTAATCCTTCTCAATATTAGTACAGTTATCTTGAATGGTAGTGTGCCGATCAGTGCCGAGTGCAGCAATACATGTTTTAGGTATTATCTCAATACAGGATCTTTTACTGTTTATAAAAGTATCAAGAAATTCAAAATGGCCAATAAGAGATTAATTGTTAGACATGGAATAGCCTTATATACAGATAGTCTGTCTTTGATGACATATATGAAAAATTTAAAGAAAAACTGTATATACTCTCATAACAAGCAGTTCCAGACAAGTATTGTGGTTCTGATCATGGAAAACTTTACAGAAAATGTAGAAATTTTGAAAATTGGCAGAATTTGCTCTTTTCACATATCAGTAGGGTAATTTTCAACATTTTTAAGCTTTTCTATTGACTTTTGCACTTGACTGATGTCCAAACATTTGCAATTCAAAATTTATCCCTGCAATAATCATGACTTTTATAATAGAGATATCATTTTCACTTTTAGGTTACTATGTATTCATATCTTACCACAGTTTCATAGAGAGCTGATGCGTGTCGTGTTTCGTAGTGCACACAATTCAGAAAAGATTGGCATTTTTCAATACAGAGTATACAAATTAACATATTCCCTACATTTTGTTGTTTGTCTGTTGTCAACAATTCAATCTTCCATCGGATAATCAGGTGTATTAAAGTTCTGACACCATTATGTTCATATCACTTGGGCCGGTTGGGGGTGGGGATGGGTGGGTTCTCAATTAAATTTGTTTTACATGATTGTATCAGGTGTTTAAATGGGTTGTTATCAAATGATTCATGTAATTGTTGATACATTTGCATTAATGTTTTGGTGTCCTTCATACACAGGAAATTCAGCTAATGAGAACTGAAGACACCTCTATTCCATGTCAGCAGATACATTTTCTTTGTTTATCTTTTCAGGATTCAGATGTAGTATCTGTGAGAAAGTACTGAAATGTAAAGGTGGATATACTGTTCATCAGCAGATGACTTGAAGTCAAAAGGTACCACCAGTTTTTAGTAGTGTCTTTCTAGATATCAAGATAAGTGAACACCAATAACATATCATATCGTTATACAAGGTCAAGAATGTGTTTATTTCGACTGCTTTATAATATCCCTGGCAGGTCATTAGTAAATCAATCAAGCTAAATTCCATTGTATGCAACTAGGATGTGTTGTCTAAAGGTCTATGTTGATGATGAATAGGATGTATCTTGTTGACCATTGGGCAACTTCTATATATATATATATATGTATTAATATTCAACAGAATGTTGGGTAACACATCATATCTGTTATAATCACAGCCCATTAGGCAACACATCCCATCTATTATTTTTACGTACCTTTGGGCAACACATCCAATCTGTTATTTTTACAGACCATTGGGCTACACATATATATTCACATCAGACCTTATCAGAGGACCTTTGGGCAACACATCATATCTGTTATCAGCAGACCTTTGGGTGACACATCATATATTTTCAATAGACCTGTGGGCAACACATCATATAATCAGTAGACCTTAGGGCAACACATCTTATATATCAACAGTAGACCTGTCTGCAACACATCATATATATCACCAGTAGAAATTAGGGCAACACATCCCATATATCACCAGTAGACCTTAGGGCAACACATCTTATATATCACCATTAGACCTTTGGGCAACACATCTTATATATCACCATTAGACCTTAGGGCAACACATCATATATATTACCAGTAGACCTAAGGGCAACACATATATCACCAGTAGACCTTAGGGCAATACATCATATATATCACCAGTAGACATTAGGGCAACACATCATACAATCAGTAGACCTTTGCCCAACACATCTTATATATCACCAGTAGACCTTAGGGCAACACATCTTATATATCACCAGTAGACCTTAGGGCAACCCATCATATATATTACCAGTAGACCGTAGGGCAACACATCTTATATATCACCAGTAGACCTAACAGCAACACATCTTATATATTACCAGTAGACCTTAGGGCAACACATCTTATATATCCCCATTAGACCTTAGGCAACACATCTTATATGTTACCAGTAGACCTTAGGGCAACACATCATATATATTACCAGTAGACCTTAGGGCAACACATCTTATATATTACCAGTAGACCTTAGGGCAACACATCTTATATATCACCAGTAGACCTTAGGGCAACCCATCATATATATTACCAGTAGACCGTAGGGCAACACATCTTATATATCACCAGTAGACCTAACGGCAACACATCTTATATATTGCCAGTAGACCTTAGGGCAACACATCTTATATATCACCATTAGACCTTAGGCAACACATCTTATATGTTACCAGTAGACCTTAGGGCAACACATCATATATATTACCAGTAGACCTTAGGGCAACACATCTTATATATTACCAGTAGACCTTAGGGCAACACATCTTATATATCACCAGTAGACCTTAGGGCAACACATCTTATATATATCCATTAGACCTTTGGGCAACACATCTTATGTATTACCAGTCGACCTGAGGGCAACACATCATATATATCACCAGTAGACCTAAGAGCAACACATATATCACCAGTAGACCTTAGGGCAATACATCATATATATCACCAGTAGACCTTTGGGCAACACATCATACAATCAGTAGACCTTTGGCCAACACATCTTATATATCACCAGTAGACCTTAAGACAACACATCTTATGTATCACCAGTAGACCTTTGGGCAACGCATCTTATATATCACCAGTAGACCTTAGGTCAACACATCTTATTTATCACCAGTAGACCTTAGGGCAACAAATCTTACATATCACCAGTAGACCTTAGGGGAACACATCTTATATATCACCAGTAGACCTTAAGACAGCACATCTTATGTATCACCAGTAGACCTTAGGGCAACACATCTTATATATCACCAGTAGACCTTAGGGCAACACATCTTATATATCACCAGTAGACCTTAGGGCAATGCATCTTATATATCACTCATAGACCTGAGGGGAACACATCATATATATTACCAGTAGACCTAAGGCAACACATGATATATATCACCAGTAGAGTGAGTGAGTGAGTGAGTTAATATTTAACGTCACATCGGCAATATTTCAGCCATATCGTGACGAGAACATTTTACATTGTAATGGAATATGGATATATTATAAAACCTGTCATCGAAGGACAGTAAAGCAACTAGAGTATCACAGATATATATATGTAAAACTAGTAATTGAATCTAAAACATTTTAACCATAAGGGACAACACAATCTAAAAATGGGCTATAGATCGCTAACAACTGAAGGTAGATCACCATACTAGGGACCATGGGGACTTACAGTACATTTGCTTCCTGCATGGGCCCTAGCTGGATTTATATCATCCCCTCAGCCGTTAGCAATTAAGACATATCTAGCCATACATTAAAATTACAAATATTCTACGATTAAAAAGCAGGTACACTTAAATTGACTTTGTAAGTTTTGGGACTTACGTACCCCCTCAGGAGGACAATAATTTTACGCTACGTCAACCCCCTCCGAGGGCACAGCCACCAACAATCTAAGTTGCTAATCTAAACTACCAATAATAAAATATATACCTATTTACAAATCAGTCAACAAATCTATTTTTTTTAAAAATGCAAGAATTAAATGAGAACTGACATTTGTAAAAAGATCCTTCAGTGTTTTGGATGTGAAATAGATATCCCTTGTGATGGAGTACTCAACACAGTCAAGCAAGACATGCTTGACCGTGATTCGTTCATCACAAGGGATACAAAACGGAGGATCCTCACCTTTTAATAGGTACTCATGCGTATATCTTGTGTGGCCAATACGACATCGTCGTATGATGACCTCTTCAAATCTGGACTGACAACCCAAGGAAGTGTAACCGATATAGGGTTTTATTGCATGTAATTTATTGAAACCTACTTGGGTGTCCCACTTCTTTTGCATCAGATCACGGATGTAAGATCTAATGCAAGCTTTGTAATCAGAGTATGGGAGCAGAAGTGGTGTCACAGATTTGTTGAGTGCAGCCTTAGCAGCAATATCAGCCATCATGTTCCCAGAAATGCCAACATGGCTGGGTAACCAACAAAAGACGATGTCGCATTGGCCAGTAGCAAGCTCATTATACAATTCAATAATTTCTAATAAAAGTGGATGATTGCAAGAAAGATTTTTTATAGCCTGAAGACAAGAAAGAGAATCTGAAAAGACGATATATTGTTTATATTTACGGTGTTTCTGAATATATTTAAGAGCTGTTAGTATTGCGTTTGCTTCTGCTGTGAAAATTGAACTGTCATTAGGTAGTCTGGAAGAGATTGTTTTGGACCCAATGACAGTGGCACAAGCAACCGCGCCACCATCCTTGGATCCATCTGTATATAAGGATTTATAGGTATTATATTTATTTCTTAATTGACTAAATTCTTGTTTATACTGTAAATCATTAGTTTCGGATTTTTTAAATGTGGTTAACGTTAAGTCAACGTCAGGCCTCACCAATTGCCAAGGCGGAGAAGAAAGAAGACGAGAAGGAGATATATTCTCCAGCTCAATGCCGGTAGCAGAAAGGAATGGTTTAATTCTGTGCCCAAGAGGCGGAACAAGAGAAGGCTTTTTGTTATACAAATCTTCATAAAGAGGAGCGAAGATGCAGTGAAACGCAGGATTAGACTCGTTAGAATATAGCTTCGTAATGTACTGTAATGATAATTTTATACGGCGTTGGGTAAGAGAAGGCTCATCTGCCTCAACGTAGAGACTGTCAACAGGAGATGTTCTGAAGGACCCAAGACAAAGTCTCAGACCTTGATGGTGGACTGAATCTAAGAGTTTGAGGTTGCTTTTGCAGGCTCCACCATATACGATGGAGCCATAATCAAGTTTCGAGCGGACCAATGATCGATATAGGTGAAGGAGGGTAGCTTGATCCCCTCCCCACTTAGAATTGGAAACGACTTTCAACAAGTCAAGCGCCTTCAGGCATTTAGTTTTAAGTGCTTTAATATGTGGTAGAAACGTTAAGTGTGAGTCAAAAATAATACCCAAGAACTTGGCCTCCTTCACAACTTTGATAGGAGTGCCATTTAGAGATAGTTCCGGGTCTTTATGCGGCTTATATTTTCTACAAAAGTGTAGACAATTAGTTTTGGACTTGGAAAATTTAAAACCGTTTTCAAGACACCATTTATGTATTTTATTTAAACACAGCTGCAGTTGCCGTTCAATAGTATGCATATTCTTACCACGACAAGAAATATTAAAATCATCCACGAAAAGAGATCCATCGATTGAATCACTTAAAACCTTTGACAGACTATTTATTTTAATACTAAAGAGTGTGACAGATAAAATACTGCCTTGTGGGACACCCTGATCCTGATTGTAATGATCAGACAGGGTAGAGCCCACACGAACTTGAAATTGCCTGTCCGTTAAAAACTGTGATATAAAAAGAGGCAAACGGCCTCTCAATCCAAAATCGTGTAAATCTCTTAAAATACCATGTTTCCATGTGGTGTCATATGCTTTTTCTAAATCGAAAAAGATCGACACTGCATGTTGTTTTTTAATAATGGCATTTTTAATAAAGGATTCTAAACGCACTAAATGATCGATAGTACTTCTGTTTTTACGGAAACCACATTGAATGTCTGTTATAAGGTTATTAGTTTCCAAGTACCACACAAGTCGATTATTTATCATGCGTTCCATGGTCTTGCAAACGCAGCTAGTTAATGAGATTGGCCGATAATTCGAAGGATCAGTATGATCACGTCCAGTTTTAGGGATGGGTACAATAATAGCATCGTGCCATGAAGAAGGAAATTGTCCAGAAGTCCAAATATCATCAAAAATGTTTAAAAGGGTTTCTAAGCATGAATCCGGTAAGTGTTTCAGGAGCTGATAATGTATGTTATCAGCACCTGTAGCCGTATCATGAGCTTGATCAAGAGCAGTATGAAG